TTCCCATCAAAAAGTAACACATCTTCAAAGTTTTGGGTTCTGAAAAGTAAATGAATCAAACTCTTTGAAAACTTGATTGAATTCCAGGTTTGTGTGGCAACAAAACATTGAAATTGCAACAAAAAGAGGTAGGGACACTTCTGCGGACCCCTGCGTGTCTCTTGAAAATTTGAAAAAGAGTGACTTAAGTACGGATTTTTAGAGGACATGTGGCTTGTAAAATATCTAGGATCGTGATAGTTCTATGTGCATCCTCAGAGGGGGATGACACAGGGAAAATCTTGATTAAAATCTCCTCTGCAGGGCGTCTTTTCTAAATGGTTACTGGTAAAACCAATCCGTCAATTGAGACCAATTACCAGCAAAGCCTCTAAAGCAGTGATTGACTGAGTGGTTGAAGTCACTTAATGTGTCGCCATCTAGCATCAATGGAAGTGTGGAAGGTCTGCACATGTGTTAAGTTAGACTTGAAGCATTCATCTGAACATCCATTTTTTTATACCCATGTAATTCAATTCAGGGTTGCGATAGTGTACAGCCTGGATTGACCGCTAGCCCATCACAGGGCTTACTCGCAGACAAAAGAAGAGAACCACAAACACTCCTGATTTACACTTAACAACTGACCAAACTAGCCTGTGTTGTGGTAGAACAGAGTGAACAGAGAAGCCATGAGGAGACAATGCTAACTCCCACGTCATTGTGCAGCTCGCACTTATTGTCTTTGAAACTAACTTTTTTCTGTCTTTGAAACTAGCTTTTTGTATTCACGAGTTCAGATATTTGGGTCAGTGTCATGTCATATTGTATAGCTAAGTCCTTCAAGTGTCATATCCAAGTTAGTCACATAAGATTCTGGAAACACACATAGAAAATGTGCTTTTTAACAACACACAATGCTTGCTCTGTCGCAGGGTTTGAACGTTAAGACAGCAGGCCACAGATTGAAGAGGGGGAGGAGAATATTGCTTGAAATCCTTGACAAGTGTAAGGCTTATAGCATATCTACAGTGTGTATGTATAAAAATCGTGCCATAGCACCAGCTTTGTTGCAGCTTGTTTGTTCTCAAATAAAACCTCATTTTAGCCATGGGTGTTCTAGCAGCAGCCATGATTTTATTACCTACATGTTCACTTTCTGGTTCAAAAAGTTGGCTCTTCGTAGCATGTGCTACACATAACAGTTTGTAATCTGTAAATTTCACCTCCGGAAAAGAACTGCTTGGATATCAGTGTCCAAAATGTGCAGATAATTTGCAGGGCGGCCCTTTTGTAGTGCAGTCAGTATCAGCCAATCGTATTCCAGTTAACATGAAGAAGAGAGCAAAGTATCTAAAGAGCAATGGAAAAATTAACTCTCACTGAATGATAGGAATTTTCATAGCTTTTTTATCGTATGCACGAAGAAAATGACTGACACACAGAACAAAGAACCTTGTTACAGATGTCCTGTTACAGATAGGCTGTCTCTGAATGTCACAGTTTTTTTATTTTTTTCTGCAAAGCATTTCCCCCCCTCCCCACAAATATCCTGAAAATAGAAGCTTACTTTTTAAAACAGGTCTAAAAAAAGTAATAAAAAAGAATTAACCGGAGTAACGTGCCCTTTCCAGGAAGTACTGCAGCTTGATCCTTGTCACAGTTGTATGGCAGCAACTAGACCAAAAAACTATTTATAATCCTGAGAGACATTTTGGAGTCCGAGCTAAAGGTTAGATACCTTTGACTGTTTGCGACTCGAGCTGAATACTTTGACGAGAAAGGGCCGATAATCGCAGTGACACAAGGATTGAGGGAATGAGTCTTGTACCCTTTGGTATATTGGACCAAAAAAATATGACCTTAACAGTGACAACTAAGGGGCTTTTCATCAGCGGCTCTGGGATTAAGTGATCTCCAGCCCTGAAATGAAATATTCTGCTTGATTTTCCTGCAGGCGGTTAAACCAAGATAAATTTGTAAGACAACACAGCTGTAATCTTCTGGGAAATAACAATTCAACTGAACTTGTGCTGCCCTTCCGTTGAAGCCATAAAATATGCTTTCAATGAATGAAAAACTCGCAGCCCACACGTATACAGAATTGATCTGCATTTATATCTCCTAATGTTGGGCGAGTGGTTAAAATCTTTTGGATCCTGGAGGAATAAATGCCTTCTGTGGAGTCAGATGTTTAAGTGGACTTATGGCGCTGAGAGCCGGCACTTTCAGTGGGAACTATGAGAGCAGGTGGGGCTACAGAGTGTCGCCTGCCATGTGCAGCCACCTGGGCTGTGACGTGTGGAGCACACGGACAGTAGGGCCATAAGATCTTTGGAGCATATGGAGCTTACAGTCTTTCTTCTAACTTCACTGTGCAAGGGCATTACCGTAATCCCACAACCAGATGAAAGAGAGACGGCTGAGGCTCCTTGGATGGTGGTTATCGCCGGGCTTTGCCTTCGCGTGCTCAGATATTCTGGGTCATGTAATTGATTGACCTAACCAGTCCACTCTTACTGAAAGCCATTTAATATGTCTGTGCAAATATACACATTTTGAGAGGGTAACAGGCCCAATGGTCACTCTTTTGCGACAATCAGTTTAGTGTTTACATGACATGATGGGAATTAGACACGTATACAACATACACTGTTACTATGTTGAGTTTTGGACCGGATCAACTCTTTTGTAACATACTGTATACTATAGTAATTTACTTTTAACCACGACTTTAAAAAGTGAAACCTAACTAAAAACATTCTTGTTTTCTATACTAAATATGATTATATGTTTTTTCTTTCAAAATGGCACTATATCTTATTCTTTTCTTATTTAACCATTGCGCTTTGCAATAATGCTGCTGTAACACAGATATTTTCCAGCCTGGGATCAAGGCTTAGCTTATTGTAAAAACCGTTTGCAGGACAGGTCTTATACTAGCAATATTTTCCACAAAGGGGCAACTGCAGGGGTCCCAAACTCCAGTCCCACCAGATTCAATTTAATGCACCATTAGTAGGCTCACGAGGAACATAACAAGCATTTGAATTGATCCTGTCAAGCAGCTGTAAAGCAGGTGTCTTAAAACAGGGATCATCTAAGAACATGTAAGACATTCAGGGCTGCTACTGACTCACAAGTTGCCTATGGATCAGAATTTCTGGTTCGCTAAATTAAATAACCCCTCAAATTCAGTTGGAGAAGCATCGACGCACACACAGTAATCTAATTAATGAAATGCCATAGATCACATAAGTTGAATGTCAAATTGCATCCACATTTAATGAGGTTTACATAACATCTGCATCAACGACAGCTGTATTTCTCATTTGCTGCTGAAGATTTTCAAACCATGTTTTCAGCATCCATTTGTGTGAGCAGCTCATGATACAGCCAACACCCTGACACACCTGACCCTGACCAATGTAAAAGCACACATGGCAGTAAACCCCGGATTAGCTCTATTCCCGATTCCCAGGAGAAAAAAGGGAAAAAGAAAAGTGATCAATAAATAATAAATAAGTGACTCATGATTTTTTTCTTTTCAAGAGGCACTCTGTTTTGGTTTAATGGAGCTTTCTGTTGCAGGATGACTCTGAAGGAAATTGTTATTTGCTCTGCTAGACTGCTTTATCCGTCTCTGTACTTCGTACAAGATTAAGAAAACCAATTTTCTATAAACCTCTTGTTCATCCAAGTTTGCCTCCTGACCTGTCACACCAACCAACAACACTGTGGGACATGCAGTTAGCATCCCAGCTTTTTTTTTTCCATTTGCAGTTGGGATCAGCACCTTGTCACAGTTACACTCGGCCAGGGCTGAATCAGGCTGACAGCGGCCGACTGTTGAGTCCCGGAAGGGGCCCCCTGCACGAGATTCCCAATTTGAAAAATACAAATTGTCCAATTTAATTTTTCCTTTGATCATCAATGTTGTAAATGCCTAATACACAAACTGACTCTGTGGTTCAACATCGGCCAGTGGATCGTCACCGCATTGTCCTTCATCGTTGTCTTGTGCGTGTGTTGTGTAGACGTGAGGTCTTTTTATATTGGAAAACCACCTGAACCGAGCCATGGGGTGGTGAGTAGAGAAAATCCCCCACACAGAACGTGAAGGCTTTCCCAAAAGAAAAATGGATGAATTTCATCCTAAATGTAATTCGCAGATCCCTAAAACCCTGCATACCTTTACTTCTGCAAAGTGCTCTTTTAATATCCAGTTGTGTAAATGACTTTCTGTAAATGAAACTAACAAATTGCTGGATTTTCTTTCAGCTATTTATTTATTTTCATTTTCCCCCTATCAACTCTTTTGAGAGATTTTGGAACCATCAAATTCAAGACGATAAAATCGATCTTAAAACAAAGCACAATGGCCCATATGAGAGGTTCTTTACTGTTTGCAATGTGAATTATGTTACAGGCATGCAAATATTTGGAATGCAGTGGTAAATTTCTCAATGAGACATGGCTGCATGCACGTTTTAGATTCCAGCACCATTTTCTACATATTTTGACAGTTGCGTAAAAAGATGAATGATACTGATGGGCAGTTAGAGTTAGTAGGAGGAGAGAGAAGCAGCAAAATTCCTGACAAAGCAGACGAAAGCAGCTCAAAACTAATGAATAGCAAAAGCTAAATAACCAACAACAGCTCCAACACAACTGTGATCATATCCGAAAAAGGCTTTTCTTTTTTCTTCCTGTCTGTTGGAAACCATGAGAACATGTTTGTTCTTATAAACTTAATATCTGAGGGTTAAGGTTAGGGCTATGTACTTACAATTTATGTTTATACAATGGGATATTTTTCTTATATTATTATTATCTATTTATGTTCACATATATATAGGACATGTAATCTGGTGTTGAGCTTATACTAATGAATATGTATGTGTAGTTTGGGATTTTTCTTTTAGTATCTACAGTTTAACGATCCCCTTTTGTGGTGGAATTGTCTGAAATAAATTAAATTCCTTCATCCATTCATAAGATACTTTTGCCTTTGATTTCAACTAACCGAACAAACGGATATTGCATTAAAATGCTTCTGTATCAAAACAGTGCTTCGATCACAGTCGCTCAAATGAAAACAACATGAAACACTACGGGCCAGCAAGTGTGGTGACCATTGATTCCGCATGACGCATTCATGGGATAATCTGGTTTCCGCTTTGGCTGGTGCGCAGATGGCGTTGGTAGAAAAAAAAAATGGGGACAGCGAGGCTATAGGGCCAGGGAGGATATTCACTGCTAGATAAGCCTCTACAGTACCATATATCATGTCTGTGAATCCCAGTTTGACACTGAGAAAGGAGAGAAGACAGCAGGACATCCAGCTTCAGTATTTCTGTGTCTCAAGCTAGATTAGCTCGATGTTATTAGACGGTTGCACTGAAACTTGCCAAACATCTCAAACTGGCCGGGAGCTGGTGAACCAGCTGGTGAACCCAACATCTGTGAGGTAGCAAGCAACGCCCTCCGCCTCCATTATCCATTATTGCTTCCATAAAGCCGCTGGCAAGCACAGTAAATATAAAGCATGTTGCAGACAGTGACACCAGCAGCCACAATATCAAATATTTGCCTCTATTGCTTTTACGCATACAAGTGCATGAGTTGTGTTAGCAACATGCCCTGACCAAGCACTCCTTCGGATTTCTTGTAGTAAACATCTCCTGGCATCACGTGCTTGTGTTTGGCAAGAGAAACGAACTGGAGCGATACACTGCCCTAAATGTGTGACACTGGGGGACTTGATCGTGACTTTATGGCAACTTGCAAATAGCAGATCTTCCTACTCGCCGCAGTCTTATGCTCAAACCACAGACGTAATACAGAAACAGAAGCATGCAGTCGAAATGCACGTAGAACAGTGACAGACAGTGATAAATACAGAGAGGGAGACAGCCAGTGTGGGACAGAGAGAGAGAGAGAGAGGATTAACTTCTCATCCAGTCTTTGCTGTTGGATAGATTGTAAGTAGCTTATTGCACAAAGCACCCTGCATGTAACCGGTGCGTTTGTATGATTTGTTTTGTGAGAGCTTTTTTGTGTGTGTGTCAGAGTCATCACTGACCTCATGCAGGCAACTAAGAGATTTAGGCCTAAAATAATCAAACTGGAAAATCTGGCTGGCCCGCTCAAATAAGAATGCATCTGTGGCCATGAAAAGCCGGCAGCTTTTCTTCCACGGAAACATTTCTCTTTAATCCTTGATGGTGAAAAATTGTAATTGGGTGCAACAACCATCTTATTTAGTCTGCGTTTTGCTTCTACCTCAAACATTATCTGGACCATCAACCAGTCCCGCAAACCGAACTAGTGACTGCATGAAGACATCATGACTCGTATTAGAACGATGCATGGAATGATTTCTATCTTGCCGAAGTCTTGCGCAATACTAGTGCGGATTGAAATTGAAGCGTGCCGTTCTAAACTTCAGTACATTCTCTCATTACGCTGCCAGCAATGGAGATTGGCTCTAGTATTATCTGTTCAACCAAACCTCTTTCACTTGTTCCTCAGTTAAAAATGTGACTAGATGGGACAAAATGACATCTCTAAACAGAAAGATCAACTCTGGATTAAGCATTTTCTTTCTGGATGACGAGTCTGATTTGCGTTTTATGGGTCAAAATCAAACTTTGACCAGGTCGCATTGACATTAGAAAACCCTGTCGTCTTTTCGGCCGTACAGCCACACGGTTCCCAATGATATAATAGTACACAAATAACTGCAATGCATGCAGCATAGAAAGGATTGCATGCAGCTATGGCAGCATTTCCCTGGCAACAGGATATGCAGAGTTTCCTACTCACTGCTCAGTATAATTATTGTTTTTAGTGCATAGTATAAAAGTGCGTGGCCATGTTTTAGATTCTTCACTGGTAACCAAGTAAAGCATTTCTTCTCCAGCTACGAAGCATAAAGATAAATCACGACTTCATTTTCCCCCGCCGTTCAGCACAAGCCAAGGCGGGCATCTAAAGAGTAGATGTGTGTTTGTGCGTAGAGAAGCTGCTTCCCCCACCTGGATACGACGAGCGGCAAAATGAGCATCTTCAGCATCCTCATTAGCAGCTCTCCGGGAAACTGGAAATACTTCACCTCCTGGAAGCGGCAGAGAGAAAGATCATATTAGCTGTGCTGCATATTTTGACATCAGCTCATCACTGATGCTGAAGTGATAGCAGTAGAATGAGTATTCAGCCGAATGACTTCTCTGAGCAGACCTTAATAGGTCCCTTTGTTCCTGTCCATCTCATCAACTCTGTGGTTAGGCCTAAATAATACCACGAAACCTATGGTGGATTGGCGTGTGGTTAAAAACCGAACTCGGCTCTTCAAGAATGTATTAACGCTTGCATGAAACACAAAGATCACTTGGTCTGAGGAGTCACGGATTGCCTTGACCCTTCCAGTCACCTCGTCCCTGTGGTACAGAAAACTCTTTCAGAGTTGATGCTGCAAACTGACTGAAAACAGGCACAAATGGAATTTCGCTACAGATAAAACGCACAAGTCAAACTCGAACAACTCTGTGGCTTCCAGGTTTCTGCTGTCAGGGTCACTTGGAGAGAAAGCCACAGGAAAAATGATGGATTTTCATGTTTAATTAGAGACCGCTCTGTTCAACTGAAACAAGCATAAGGAAGCAGTGTTGCCTTTTTTTTGTTATCATTGTATCAACGTGTAATATGACGATGTGTGTGGAGCTTTCTGTGTCTCCTGTGAACATTTTTGAGTTTACGAATCTCTACTAAGAACAATTTTCACTTGAAACTAGAAAAAAAAATCTGTTTTGTCTCTGTTTGGTCAGTACTCACATGTCATACATCTGTTGCACTTTGAATTTTTACATCGGCTTTCTTGAATAACATGTTATTTCAAAGGCACCTCTTATAGGTTACGCTCTTCATTAAACTCATAACTGTTCTTTTATTGAGTTTTATTACCATAAACTGATAAAACGAAGATAAAGGCAGAGAGGGAGATGATTTATTGTAAAGAGACTGGATGACTGTGACAATTACTCTGAGATTTATTCAAAGTGGCACTTCTTTAGAGGACAAGGACTCAGGAATGGCATACATGAAAGGAAAACTTTTTTTCTATTTAGTTTAACTGCTTGATTTTGTGTTTGCCACTTCAGTGTTGGACAGTGGAGAGAAGACACATGAGACATAAGAAGGACACAGAGATCACCGTGTTTCAGGTTCCATTTTTGCACAAAAACCTGCTAGTCGTTTTGAGGAGGTCCCCAAAACCCTGGAAGTAATAAAGCTAGCATGGGTCTGATATAAACAGAATAAAAAATCCTAAATTCCCCTTGTTGCCCTATTAAGTGCTGAACACAAGCACTTCTCTTCATCTAAATTTTTCTTCCAAAAACATATTCACCTAAGGCGCAATTCTATATATCTATATTCTATACTTAATTCACAGATGAATACATCTAACTTGAAAGAAGTTGAATAAACTGTAGCAGAACTTTTTTTTGTCTTTTCCTGAATTTACAGTGGCCCACGGCTTTGAGGCTGGTGACATTTGAGACATTTATATGATTGTAAAAACATTCCAATCTGTGATCCGTTTTGTTATACCATTAAAATGATCCCAATAGATGTAGGTGCACTGGGTGAAAGAAGGACAAGGACAAGAGTGGAAAAAGCTTACATCAAAAGCAGACTGCTGTGAAGAGTTGTGGATGAATAAATTCAACTGAAGTACAGAACAGCACATCTGTGCAGTCAGATAATGGAACAATAAAAGCTTTTAGTGTTTGTTCTGGAATGTCAAGGCTTTTATGCTAAACGCGTGTGTGTGTCCGTGTGTGTATGCGTGTGGAGGGTGAGGTGTTGAACGCGTGTGTGCGAGGATTTGTACGGCCTATCCGCAAATGTGCACGCGCGTGAGGAACCGCCACAGCTGTGCCTGAACCCGGGCATCTGGCGGCAGAGGGTGTGTGTTGGGTATTTTTCGAAACGCCTGCGTCCACAAACACGCCCGGACCGACAGGAAGCTCATTCGCTCACATATGCTCTCATTTCACCAGACATATAGATTCCTAAGGCTTGTCTTTACACTTATGTAAGAAGGCTTTTGTTGAGTCCTGGTATTTAGAGCGATTGTGTGATTTACATCTGATGAGAATTTTTCACGAACTGCCGAGATTGTTGTCCTTTGACCAGAGGCGCTGCCCGACCAGGGTATTAAGTAAAACTTCATCGGAAAAAAAACGTCGTCGGCGCGAGAGCGGCGATTTAAGAAGCAGCCAATCATTGGATTCTTTTGTTCTCTTAAATGCTGTCAGCTCCAGAGGTAGAAAGGCATTAGTGAAATTACAGGCAGTGTACAGATGTGCAAATACATCAGCCAGTTATTGCTATCTGCTATGTTTCTAGCTCATTAACTGCTAATGTGTTGTAAAACAGGATAGCATGAAGTGATGGGGGTGTCTGGGGTTTAACTAGTGCGTCCTGGTTGTACTGTGCTGACTTTACACTGAAAATGAAGACAGTTCATTTTTCATTTCATTGGAAGAACACAATGCAAAAGATGTCTTTTTCCAAATTACATACGAAACATTTTGGTTTGGATTCGTATTGATGACATTATGCTTATCAAAAAAGAACAACGATGGGCCGAAACACTGATGGTTGTCCATGTCATGTTTTGTACCTTTGTTTTATTTTGGTCTTAATTTTCTATCTTCTTGCTTTACTCCTCCATTGTCACCTATTAGGAATTAATTAATAATTTAGTGTACTCCTTTTTGATTGGGTAATCTCGGTCCTGGTAAGTTTTGTGAGCTTTTTCGCTTATTTCACACCTGGTTTATTTGCTCATTACGCAGCATATTTTTTTGCATATTTTCATTATGTTCACAGCATGATCGCTTAGCTTTGGGTTGTTCATTGCCAAATCACTAAAATCGTCATCATGTGATTATGTGGTCAGTCTATTTAGTCTCTTTTTGTTAATTTCATCAGGGATAGGTGAACATTATCGGCAGTCCTTGCTTGCAGACCATGACTGGTATGCATTTTGAATCCTCAACCTTCCCCTTTGTGACTTATTACTTATTTAATCATTTAAACCTGATAGCAATGGCAGAGGTAATTAAAAAAGACCTGAGGGAATTTGCTTATTCAGTGCTCTTGTTATTCTGTTAATGCCACCTCAAAAGCAGTATTAATCTTTTTTTCGTTTTTTAACATTTTTTAAATGAGCTCTATCTATTCTTTTAAAGAATAGAGCAGACCTTTCATCTATGTTCTCAACCCTTCTCTTCCAGACAAACTGCTTATCGTTGCATAGAAAAAATAATTAAAATAAATGAGTTTGCTTATATTCTATTTGAGTATCTATCAACACTCAAGGTTTTTTAAACCTATTCCCAGTCTTAAAAAAAGATTAAACTGCAGTAAGAAATGAAACATTCCCACTTAAAAACTTTATCTTAGATTCAATGGCACCAACAAAATGTATAAAAAAGGTTACAAAGGGCATGACAAAGAGCTGAAAAGTACATACTAAAAAGACACATCTGGAAGAACCATTTTGTAATCAGTTTGGCTATTTGGTAGCTACAAGGTCAGAAATATGGTACACTGATTATTTTCTGTATAAATGGAGGACACTTCGGTCTGAAGGTCTTCCATAGTTGTTGATTGTACGTGTGTTGCAGTTGGAAACTTCCTGCTGGATCAACTGAGAGAAATTAGGGTCTAAAATGAGGCTGGGATAACTGGGCTTTGATTTGAACAGCACAAAAATCAGATGAGAGTCCTGTTGATTTATCTCAGCTCACTGTGTGCATGTAAGGGAAGAAACAGCTCTGCTCAAAGTTTCAGATAATGTATTAGAGGGCTGGGAAGGAATTCAAATGGACGTGGACCCATTAAATTTTTCGTTCCTACCTCTGAAAAGCTTGAAATGCTTAAAAACGAGTAGACAGGCAACTGAAAGGGTGTCTGTTTCATTGAGGACAGATTTGAGTTCTCTTGCCTTTTCAACCTTAATAAAAAAACTGAATAAAAAAAAGTAAAGAAAAGACTTTTTGTGGTTGTTGTGCGACATGCATTGAAATGACTTCTCCTATTCTACACAAAGCAGCTGACATTAATAGCCAAAATCTCTCCAGAGTACATCCGTTTTTAGATTAGGCTTTTAAAAAGATAAGACTTATTGTAATGTATTTGTTTGTATCTGGTTTTCAGTTACAAACATCAAGGCCCTTGTGCTGTATCTTAAGTCAAACTAGCAACAAACAGCACAGGAACATTTTAAGCTGAGCCAGTGACCTTGGTAACAATTACACAACCTTAAAGTTAAACATTAGATACTTGTTAACTCACAGCTGGCACAAAAGCTGCTAAAATGACTAAAGGATAGTGAATTCATTTTTTTTCTTACTTAAGTGGTTTAGAGAATATCAGAATTGAGGTCTCTGACTGGCACATGAGCTCACAGCCTCTAAGCTGATGCCATTCCAGCGACTTCAGGTTCACCAAATGTCACCAACAACTCCTTCTAAGAATAGAGTTCTGTTGTTCAGGACAAAACACGAGACTGTGCAGATCAAAACAGATCAAACTTTTTGTTTAAATGGGATTCATCAAACCAATGCAGCTATCTACGAATAAAAACGAATTATCATCACACACGGCTGCTTTCTGGTACTTAATTTACATAATTTAACAGTTGCTTCTGGCGTTTTTTCCAGAATTTCTCAGATTTTTTTTCAATGCATCGCTGTGGTTCGTGCTTACAGCTACATAGCAGCAAAAGAGGATTATGGACGATAAAACATCATGGTAGTTTACTGTAATTAATTCACCAAGTGGCTTCCGTAGCCCCGGTGACTTAAAACGGGCATCAGCTATAATAACCACTCCCACCTATCTGGTTTGAGTTGGACTTGTACTTGTATCAAATATTTCGTCTGTACTTTAAACTAATCTGAGAGAGGATTAAGTGATTTTACCTAAACCGTACATTGATGTAGAAGTAAAGCATTGGATTCTTTTTCCACATGGACTCTAAGTCCTCTTAAAAGACACACAAGCTAAATGTACAGTAGATGAGTACATCCAACCTGAATTACCCCCTCTACTGTGAGACCTGCTCAAAACAAAGCACAGGCGTGCAAAAGGGCTAGTCAACTCTGCACAGATTGACCACTGCACATAGTCTCCATCCAGTTTCAGAGCAAGCGTTTTATCAGTTGAAATCGTACCATTCCTGTTATAAAAATAGCTTGGCAAACTGTCATAGCAGCCTCTTAACATTCTCTGAATTCTGCCTATTTAATTCCTTCCCTTTTGGCATTGTGTGAATTACATAAGAACAAATAGTATGATGGTTGACTTAATATTTCGGTGGCCGATTGACGACTAATCTCCGGTTAGCAATCCTTTCCACGGGTTCACTTGGGACACAGAAAAGCCAACAAAATATGCCTCTCTTTCTCGTAGAGTCTTGTCCAACTTGTAACAGTTACATTTTTGATTTACAGGAGTACAAACTTTCATTCGATTTAATCAGTTACGGGGAATTGGACAGATGTGGAGGAGTTTTTGTTTCTAAACGATGCGATGTTGATTATATTCTCTATATAAAGCATCGTGGTTGCTTTTTTACCATCTTGAGACAGAAAATCGTGATAAGCCCTAATTGAATGATTTCAGGGTTAAAGAATAGCTTTAAATATACACTCTAAAACAATGTGGGATTAATTATGGAGTTTGTGGTAAACAGTAACACTTTTTTGTGGATGTCTTGGGAAAAAGGAGTAGTGGCAGTAGGAGTAGGGAACAAGTTTGGTCTGAAAACATTATAGCATCTTGGGGATCACACCTAGACGTTGGGGCGGTAAGGTGCAAGTGAAATGGACAATGGGTCTGTGTGTCAGGGAGGGTGGGTGTTACAGGGTCACAATTATCCTCCAGCATCTTAACCAACTGACCTGCTGGGAAAGCTGCTTTCCCCTGAGGAAGAAGCCCAGCAGGCAGCCGATGACCACGGCCAGCACGGACAGGATGAGCAGTCCGTTCTGCTTGCAGACATTCTTCACCCGGCCCCACACTTCTTCCAGAGCCACCGCCATCCTCCCCCGCCCCCCGCCCCCTTTTTTTTTTTTTTTTTTAAATCCCGGTCTTGACTGCAACTTCGCAACCCCTCGGCGAAAAACCACCAGAGCAAGGCCCCCTTGCTTTCTTTTTTTTTGCCCCTCTTATTCAGCCATATAGGGACGGTAGAGAGCAAAACGGCTGCTGCCTCACTGGAGGATGGTGCTGGGTGTGGATGTAGATGGTGGGGCACAGTAGCTGGATGCAGGCCGGTGAATGTGAAGGTTTTATGAGACAGGGAAAAAAAAAAGAAAAAAAAAGACAGGAAAAGTTCAAGAAAAAAAGCAGGCTTGGTTTGGACGAATGAAGACGGATAAAAGTTCTTTTGAGATGTTGGTCCACGAAAAAAAAAAAAAAAAAGCACTTCAGGAGTTGACAAAAGTTATCCTTTGAGCTCTGTTATTTTTTCGTAGCCTTACATCAAACCAAGTGCATCACATAGGCTCCTGCTCTGTCTCTGTCAAGCTGCGACTGCCTCCCTTCTCTGCCGATCAACCCCTCCAGCAGCTTCCTTCCCTCCCCCAAAGTCCCATTTCAGCCGGTGGCCGACAGAGGGCCCCGCGACAGCTGGTGGTATTGTCATCAGGGTTAATACTACTATCCTATTAGGAAGCACTCCACAACTCAGATCTAAGGCTGGATTAGAGTGCTCTCTGAACAATTGGACAATGCATTGCGCCAACCACCAAAAAGGAAAGAAGAAAAACAAAGAAAAAGAAGAAGCAAATCCCAACAAGTAATACGGGGTGATGACTGTGCACATTAAAGCCAGAGCCAAAGCGCCAAGGGTTGGTCACATTTTATCCTCACAGAGGTATGACTGAGCAAAAGATAAGCAAAAAAGAATAACACAAGCATTTATTCATACTGAAAACTAGCCAGAGGTTTGTGCAACCATAAACCTGTTATTTTTTGTTGCAGAAAATTAGGCAAAAATATAATACGTATAGAATGTGCTGCTTCACTCCAATTAACCAAATCTAGGCCAGGAAGGCATCATCCATCTTAGAAAATCCCATGGGGGTAATGTACGTTCCATTATTTCATGTTCTTTATCAGCGTCAAACGTCAGTCACATCCTCTCAGTGCCGGGCTTACTTCCTTTTTCCACTGTAATAATTCTTGTTCTATTCTTCCTGCTTTCTCCTGATTTGTATGTTAAAAATCCCACACGAGCATTGACATTTCAACTTCAATTCTTTGGAGGTTAAACCTGCTGGTTTTATCCAGCAGGTGCACTTTTTTGTAGAACTTTTCTTTTGCCACACTGTGATTCCCACAGTGTGCTCTTATTTTCATCATTACAGTGTTCACATTTATTGAAGTTGCCATTCAGTTCTAACAAAGTGATGTGTAGCTGGAATTGCCACAAGGTAAATGTGTAACGGAATACTAACAGAATTTAACAGAATGCAATGATTTGCCATTGTCATGAATCAAAATTGTATTCATTGCAGGATTTAGGAACCATATCAGACTCTGAAAGTAAGATATTTGATCAATTGATTAAAAAAATTGCAGTCATATCCAGTCTGATACCAGTAAAAATGGAACAGATGCAACAATAAAGCCTAGTAAGCAAAAGTAAGTGACAAAAAATGTAATTTAAAATGTTTAAAATGTAATGTAAATTTTTTTTTTTATATCATTGATGGCAGTGGAATGCAGAAAGAGCACTTTAAATATACAGAATCTATCCATTAATGATCTTTTATTGCTAGCAGGGTCTTGATTAGGTTGGAATCTATCCCAACTGGCATGGGGTCAGAGGCAGAGTACCCACTAAACAGTCCATCACCAGGGCCACCAAGAGACCAACGGCCAGACACTCACATTCACTCCTGTGAGCAATTATTTGGTCCAAAATGCATGTTTGTGGAATATGGGAAAAGCTGGAGTACCCGTACAGAACGAGGTGTAGAATCTCCGAGCAAACGTGCTTCCGGAAGATTCAACAGAATCGTGTCCATAAATAGTTGCCATGTGCAGATTCGGCCGACTGTATGTTTCTTCCATTTTGTACCAGGTTTTGTGTCCTCTTCCTGACTTACTGTTTCATTTTGTGGACTCGTTTCCTGTTTGGTTGCTGACAACTTGACGTCCTAAGATTCCCTCTACCGATCGGACTCCAAGCGTTATCCACTTGGGCCGCATCACCTTCCTCCTCACCACCTTCATGGGTCTAGTCATACATCCCCCATTCAGCCTTCCTTTGCAAGTTTGTGTTTGTCACTTGTGCCAAGCAATCCAATAGTTATTTCAACTTTGTGTTTTGGTGTTACTTAACCTAGCTTGTATTTGGGATTTCTCTTTGCCTCTGAGTTTTGGATACCTCAGGCTGAATTATTCCTTTGACCCCGGACTGTGTTAAAGGATTGTTGAATTCAGACCTGAGTGGAGTTCTCCATTTGAGTCCGTGTCCTTGTGTGCACAATTGTGGAGCACTTTCATTGTATTCTTTCTTTTGGGTAAAATAGCAGATATTTGCTGTAAGGCACCATCTTAAGAGTGGTGAGATCAAAATGGCGTATGATATTTTTCACTATTTGTTATTATAATTTTAGATGTATCATTTAGTAGTAGTAGTGTTAGTAGCAGTAGTAGGACCCTTTTCTCATGCAGCAGCCATGTTTGTGGAACTGGGGACTAAAAATGTCCCCATTTAACATATTTATGATGAATTCTAAATTTCTATCCTAGATGTTCCACAATACGTCAAACAGGCAACTTGCAATTTGAACAATTAAACAAATGTATTAATCTGCATAATGTGTTTAAAACAGAATTTAAACTTAAAATGAGTTTGCTGTGTTTTCCATCTCCAGTATGAATGAAAAGCACAAAACTATTTTTAAATGGGCAAGAAGGGATAAAAGCAATAATGAATCTTGAGAAAATGAGATGTTGTTTTCCATTTATTTTAAGGAGAAGGAAGGATGACTAATCAACCAGATCTTGGGTTTTGTAATCTTAAAGAATAGATTGGACTTTTTGTTTACATGACAGAGTTGTGCAGCGACCATTCGTACAATTACATATATAAAAATGTAGACTAGAACTTACCTTTTAGTTAGTTAGAAAATTTGTTTCAAACATTATTCTGTTTTAAATACATTGACAGAAGGAAAGGGATCCACTCAACTCCTCTGTTCGTGATCAACACACCCACCTATCTCCCCTTAATTAGCTTCCATTCTCACCCACTTGGTATAAATCCTTCAGGGTCAACTCAAATTCACAATGTGAGCGCCAATTCCATTCAGGCTCTGAAAAGATACATAATGGAAATAAAACAAACTTGCATTACATTTTCTCTGCATGACAGAATATGGCAAGGTCTCAGGTAAAGTAATCAAGAACAACCAAAGAAGATTATTTTTTTCTTGTCTTTGTGCACCTTTTCTTCATCTTTCCTCTTTCAATGTCTTAGGAATAAGGAGGATGAGAAGAGGATAAAACAAAAAAAAACATTAGGGCTTCATATTCTAGTTGAATCAGAACTATCTGATATAAATAATCAGTTCACCCCCAGGGATCATAAACACGATGACGCAGACTGAGAGAATGAGAGGATGGATTAATTATTTTTAAACAACCAAGACCTACCATTGAGCTTCACACAATGAAAGCGAATCAGTCATACTTTCTTGGAAAATGAACATTACTCAGCACCAGAAGGGTAAAGAAAAATAGATTGTTTTCCAACAATGGAAGCAGACCTAATATATAACATGCACATGGTTTCTCAGGAGCATGGCAACAGTGGTTTGAAAATAAATGTTCTCCATCAGACCCTTCAAAAGCTTTCTTATCAATGTTTGCGAGGACATGAGGATCTAGTCAGAATCTAAATAATTGGGGAGAAAAAAAATAAGCACAGGAGAGGCAAAGCTAATACATTTCCTTGCCATTCATTTTGTTTATGGTATCCTCTTAGTAACTCCCACGAAGAGGAGTGTGATTAGACACTCTAAAGACTGCAGTAAGACATAAAAGCACATTCAAAGTACCGTATTATGAAAAATGGTAAAAACCAAGCATAAAAATAATGTTTTTCTTAATTTAAAATGTAAGCTCCAAGTGTCCTACCACCGAAATCATAGACCACATGTGCTATCAGGAAGACAAATAGGAAACAAAATTGATGGAAAAAATCTGATCAACTGAAGAAAGCCCAAGATTTTGGCACTTTTACACTGGGCACGAAACGTGCACTGCATTCATCATCATCCTCGTTTTGCACCCTAAGGTACCTGTCACTGTTGAACAGTAGAATGAATGTGCTCCTCCACTACACCACACTCTTTTCCATGGCCCTTTGCAATTATTTTCAGTCTTTTCATTTTCACTGAGAATTGGCTTTTTCAGAGCATCATCTGTGATTAGTCTCATTTTTGTAAGTTTGTAGTACACTCAAAAGTGCTTTATGCCCTCACAATTTAATGTTGCTGATTGACTTCCTTCTGTCTGATTTAAAAAAAGTTACCTCGAAATGACTGCTGATCATCCCATATAATACATCAGACTAGGTATTACTCAAAGATAGTTCACTGCTGTTCACATATACAATTTAGAAACCTCCTATATCTAGCTCATAACCTGCAGGACCTCAACGTCCAAACGGATAAACTGCTGAATGTTAACCTAGCTGGAAATGATGATGATAGATTGTTGTAGCTAAAATCTATCTTGAAGCTAAAAGCAAACTGAGACGGACCATCAGACAATAAAGGTTTCAATATAATTCAAATGTAAAATATTTAATATTTTCCAGACTTCGTACTCGAGCTGGCAATGAGTTGAAAATCCAGAAAGCTTTTTTTCTAACCATTATGAAAAAATGTGACCACGATCATTTTTGTGAATGCCAGGTTTATACTTTTCCTTTTGCCAGTGGCCTCTGATGGACTGGTGACCTGTCCACAGTGTGCCCCGCCTGCCGGAATATATTCCGCTTATCGGACTTAAAACTGACTTGTCCTCGATCAGAAGTAAATGCCCACTCCAGTTATGAAGTCCAAACATGTGTCCACCTCTTCCCCAATGACAGCTGGGAAAAGGCTCCAACTCATTTCGACCCTGTGAGGTATAAGCAGTGCAGACAATGGATGGATGGATATTTATGATTTATGATTAAATTCAAGACAAGCTATGTCCATTGTTATTTAGCCTTTACAAAAAAAAAAATGCATCTAAAAAAATGTCACATGAATTGCATAAAGATGGTCAATCTCTGTTAAAAGATGGATCAGGCAGAGGTATAAGGGAGAAATGAGTGAAGAACCATATGAAGTGGAGGGGATGCTGCAATGCTGTGATCAGACAAAGAGACACGGTTAGGAATAAACCAGGAAGAAATGAGGGCTTTGCTTCAGTGTAAAGGATGCACTGTACTTAAAATGCTCATGAGCAGTGTGTATATTTCAGTTTGCGTTCACAGGTCTGTGAAGGTGCCGGTGTGGGTGATTGTCGTGGACAAGCAGGGATAGGTTCTGACCGACCCGGCTACACAATCCCTCTACTACTGTCATATAATCCCCTTTCTTTTGCCAATTTTTTTTTCCTGTTTTGGGATTGGTCTGGCATGGATAATCTGGGATTAGTGCCAGTAGTCAGAGATGGTGTGCTTGTCGCTCGAGGAAGACACATTCAGCATCCGTGAGTCCGCTGCTATCAGCCTAAACGTGTTCCTTAACATATCATTTACAGACTGTATTTAACTGTGCCAGTGGCTTTATTTGAGAACCGGCTAACCAAGTGAGGAAATGGATTAGGATGCCACCAACAGGTTTTGATGATTCCCCCCCCCCCCCCCCCCTCCCCTTTCCCAATCTCACTGCTACAGATGATTTCAGAATTAATAATCATGTGCTGCCTTTGTGGTGTTGAGGGCCGCGTTGCTTAGTGGCGGCAGTGACAGAAATTCCTGGGGGGAATGCATCAGAAAAAAAATAAAGAAGTGCCTGATTGAAAGGACAAAGTTACTTTAGTGTGAGGCCTGACAAAAAAAAACCCATTGGAACTCATTTCCTGGTTTTATCTTGACGGGAACAAAATAAATTAGATGAAAAGAGAGGCCTATTTCTTGCACATGAACACTGAACACTCCATTATGTTTCCATTAGTTCCATTAGTTTCCATTAGTTAGTGATGAATACACGTGTGCATTAGCAGGTATGTGGATGTTTATATATATGTATGTGGGTATGTATGTATATGTGTATGGATGTACATAATGTCTGTATTTACATATGTATACTTGTGCATAGCTGAACATGTATGTTAACATGTTATATTTGGTAATATCCATCCATCCATCCATTATCAATACCGCTTATTCCCTGATGGGGTCGCGGGGGGAACTGGAGCCTATCCCAGTGGTCAACGGGCGAGAGGCAGGGTACACCCTGGACAGTCCGCCAGTCCGTCGCAGGTATTTGGTAATATTATATATATATATAATAATAAAAAAAAATATATAGAGAAATTATTCAAATACACTACGTATACAGTATATACATTTGTTGGGCAATAATGCCATAACACTCGCCCAGTAGGCGATGTAGAGTTTTATCAACTGTTACGATTCAATTCCTGCTTGACCAATTCAAAACCATGTCACCTACCAGGTGTTTCTATTCTGAATCAGCCAATGAAAAAACATTCTGAAACATGATCCAATCCATACCTCCATCCATCCATTTTCTATACCCGCTCAATCCAAGTCAGGGTGGCATCCTTGACTGGGTGATTGTCCATCACAAGGCCACACGGAGACTAACGAGACCATGAACAACTCACAATAGGTATGAGCTACTATCTCATACATTCACAGAAATGAAATCAGTCTCTCCGTTTTGCTCTCGCGAAGGCCCAGTCGTGTTTTTTGTATTGTTTTTCATCCTTGACATTTATCTCGTTCCGACAACAGCTCCTCTAATGGATCATTCTACTGCTGCTGAGTCAATGTGCTCATGTTAGTTACCTTCATTTCAGTGAAAAATCTAAATACATTTGTGTCTTTCACAGTTACAGTTTTTATGTACAACCAGCCACTCACTGACACTTTCTGGTCACATGTACTGAAAGAGGGGCAGGGAAGTCTAATTATCAATGCATTAAAGACATGACTTTAAGTGTTTTATCTTTCCTCAAAAGCTGGAAAACCTTCACACCAGTAAGTTGTGTACCAACGTTGTGTCTACCTTTGTTAAGCTAAAAGTAGTATGTTCGGGTCAAAGATTCATTGGAATTCATTGGAAATATTAGTCCAGATGAGTTGAGGGAAGAGCTTTCTCCTCTGGCAGAGGATCCAAGCTAGAATGAGGGGTTCCGACCACAAAGTTTTTGAATGTGAATATAAGGAAGTGCATAAGTACAGAAGTATATACTGACTCAAACAACATTTGTTATTAGCCGCTGAGAAATCAGCCGTTTAAGGCCAAGCAGAAATTGCAAGCAGGTAATTACTTTTGAAAATCCTTCAGTTATCCGCACATAGCTATTTAGGAGGCCAACATTTCAGCGGAGACATGTTTAGCTTATGTCGATGGTGCAACTTTTGAGAAATGTTTCCCAGTACGACCGATTATACTGTTAAAAGGCTCCATTTTGAACCTGAGGTATAATGAAGCCTTGAGCCTTAGACTCACAAAAAGCTTACAAGACAAATGGGATCTTGAAGGGGCTTTGCAGATAAAGTTGGCCAATTATTCTATGTCTGCAGGATATCCATTATGGAGGAAAAAGACTCCAACTGAATGAGTCATGCTGTACCTGAATGTACCTGTGTCCTCTGAATGACATCATTGTTTTTCAATATTGAAAAACTGAAAGAATATCGGTACCAACATTGTAACCTATGTTGGTCAAGATAGTATTAATATACAGGCACTTTAAAGATGACATTAGTTTGTCAATTTGTGCCACACGGTCACAGTTTTTGATGTTTAGTTTTGCTCGTGTCAGTGTAATGCATTGACTCCAGCCATAAACTGCCAGTATATTCACTTTGGGTGGGAACTTCCTCAACAACAAATGACAACAGAGATAAGAAAACATAATTTCATAATTCAATCTAGGAGACACATCTGCATTTAGCTCTAATACATCAAAACAAGACGGTTCCATGTTTCCAGGATAAAGTGATTATGAAAACTGAATGAATGAATCAGGGATATGTGCCAATGGTTGCCTCAGATGTTCCAGTGCACAGACAAAATTCCACCCCCCTTGAATCTCTGTGAAATATATTCTTGCATGTTATTAGCTAAACCAATCAGATCAACATTATTGAAGTTTATAACTAACCCATAAAGCAATTAGATAGAATAATCTGCACAGGGAAGGCTAATATTTAACATCGTCAAATGAAACAAAGGGATTTATAAGAAATGAAGTTACAGTCTTGTAATGCAGTTAATGCAGTCAAGTCTGTTTCCATTAGACTGCTAAATTATTGAATCCTGTTCTTGTCTTAAACTATATGCGATGAAATTTCGTTTTGTGTACACTCCGTACACACAAAATGACAGTAAAGTTGTCTATGTCTATGTCTAAGATGCTCATTGTGTTGTATTTCCTTGTTGACTCTGTACATGCGTCTGCTTGAGGGTCAGCGAGGATGTCTTCAATAATGATTTGAAGGGGTGATTAAAGCTGTGGCGCTCTTAAAACTTTAATGAGACATTATTCCAACACTTAATCCCGTGTAATCACGCACAAATCTCAGCCTGACTTGAGACAGACAGAGAAAGAAAAAAACAGTGAGAGAGAAAGAAGAGGGGGGAGGGCTGCAACGTTCCTCAGATATAAAGTTTTCCTCCTCCGTCTCTCTCTCTCTCTCTCTCTCTCTGCTCATTCATTCAGGATTGAGCTGATGGAGAAGCGCGCTCCTCCACTGGACCACTGTGCCGTCGACGCACCCACACAAACCATCCCTAACCTGTGATCGGTGAATTTTTATTTCTCTTCCTTTCTTTTTTTTTCATCTCCTTCTCTTCCTTTCCCGCTGCAAGATGAGTGCGGAGTGCAGCAGTTACCACAACACCGAGGGGGTGTACGTTCAGGGCTTCTTCTGCCCCAAAGCGGGGAACGCTGCGTTGGCCGTCTACTGTTGTGGATTCAATGACATGAAGTACTGCTGTGATGATCCGGACAGTTTTTTCCCCTATGAGTACGGATACATGTGGTGGCTGAGGTAAGAGCAGTTTTTGCACACTGTTTTTTGTGCGCTTGTTGTACCGGTCCCTCATTGGGAATGAGCTGTGGAATGCAGGCTCACTTTATCATTTCATTAAGTTGATGAGTTCATAAGATTACTGTTAGAAGGGATCGACCCCCTGACCTCATTTATTAAAGCAAACAAAAATGAACTTAACTGCAAATAGTTTCCTCTTTTATCTTATGAGTAAATTATATATTTAATTAAAGTTAATGGAGTATAGAATTTTAGCCCACAGTGCATCTTCAAATGATCTTTTTCCAGTATCTTACCCACCCCATCCTCTGATACCTGACTCCAAATTGATCTCTTTCTCCCCTTTCCTTTCCTCTCAGTATTGGCGCTCTGGTTGGTTTGTCCATCGCAGCAGTTGTCCTTCTCGCCTTCCTCATCACCGTTTGCGTCCTCTGCTACCTTTTCATCGTCACCAAACCCAGTCGCCTTGACAACGGCCTGGCCCTCAGAGCGCCTGGTCAGCATGTTTTTAGGATTCCTCTTAAGTAGCCCACACAGGAGTTTCATGCCGTTGCACGAGTGCCTTTCTCTTACAGAGTTATGTACAGCCTCAGTGCTTTTTAAAGAAGATCAGTAACGTGTTTCTTTGCATTTTCCTGAAATACATAGAACTGGGCTTGATTGGATAGTATGCCAACACTTATTAGCATGTTCTCGTGCACGTAGTGTGCGATTACCCGTGACCTCCCTCAATACATCCACAGTGGATTAGGGTCAGGGTTAGGGTTCGAAATACTGGGAATGGATGGAGATTCCTGTTTTGGGGAGTTTTCAAATACCTTACAAGTGCAAACGCTGGAGTGTGGAACTGAGCAAAAGGCGGGTTTGGAACTAAGACCAGTTTGATGTAATGCACATCGGTCTGCCAAAACCCGTTGTTCTACTTCTGCCTCTCAGAGCTGCGAGGACTCAGTCTAAGAACATTTGAGACGAGGTTAAGTCTTTGACCAAAGATCTATCGTACACTCAAAAAGGAAAGAAAGCAGCGAAAAGCAGCTTTTGAAAATGCACCTTCAAGCCAACGCAACATACATTTGCAGGCCTTGTTTAGTCGTTGAGCCTTTTATAGGAAACGCACATGAATACAGGAACTGAAGGTTTTTTGGGAGCTCCACATTAACCTGTACCGTCTGTGCCCTTCTCAGCTGGAGACTCCAGTGAGGGACCCAGTCAGGGGAGGCTGACCTCCGGTCTGCAGGCCTTCCGAAAAAACTTCACGAGCAGGAGAGTTGACTCGGACAACGATTCATCGGACCCGGAACGCCTTTTCCAGAGGTGTTTCACGGCAACGGTGACGGGTGTGAAAGTGGAGAGTCCCTCATAAGCCGCCGAATGCAAAAGAGTAGGACCACCAGGGAAGGCGAGATGTGAGTTAGTGGGACAAGAGACACATTTTGAAGACGTGGAAACGTTCCTGCCTCTCACCGCTCGCCACGAGTGGAAGTGGACATGTGCTATTTTTGTTTCCTTTCAACTAGAACCGAGTAGTCAAAGCATGAGCCAAGGCACAACGACCTTTTGACTCCAGTTTCTGTTCGGAATGTGCAGTTTTAAACGTGAGCACATAAAAATGCTGTGGACCAAATAAAAGAAACCAAAAAAACAAGGTTAGTTCCACCAACACAACTATTGGGCTGCGAGCTCTTGAAATCTGATTGGACTTGATAGTGAGCTGTTGATTTGAATCATACCTCAGGAACTCAAAGATCAAGGCGGACGGCAATGGCAGAATGATTATCTCACCAAAACGTTTTTTGAAATATATTACGCATTTAAAATAAGCCTAATGTTCCCATTTCCTTGACAGTGATGATCTCATTTCATCTCCCACCAGCAGTCAACGATGTTAAGATGTTTTTTTTCAAGTTGTTTTTCACCAGCACCAACAACTGTTAAACCAATCTCGTCATGGTTGACTGTAGTCCTCTGAATATCACGAGGGGACGATGTCCCCAGTCAGCTGACTCCACTGTGAATGAGGAAAACGAGTGTGAAGTGTGAACGTCAGGACAATCTCAAAACTGCAAGCCTCAAGAGATTTTCTAACTCTAACTCCACATGTTGAGAATACATTTAGCAAAGGAGCACCTTGTTGTTGGTCCAGTTGGATCCAGTTGATCCAGTGTAAATGAATGAGGAGATCTGGTGAAAGCTTTGCTTATCGTTGCTTAATTTTTATTAATTTGATGCAATTAAGTTTTCTGTTATTGGCTGCACGTGGCTCGGGCCTGCTAAAAAGCCTACACACTCACACAGATTGTATTTTTAAAGACTGAATTTCATGGCTACATTTGGGAAAAGATGTTATTAAACAACACCGGGCTGTGCTTTGGATCACCGCTGGCTGGGTTATGGTGACCTTGTTGTGAGTCTGAGTCAGAGGTGAGGGCTGAGGGTGCGTTCGTTTCTTTTCAAAAACAACAAGATGACTTCAGTTGTGTGTATATGTTTGCCACAGTTAGTTTTTTTTTTTTCTTTATTCAAAATTGTATCTGCTTCTGTGGTCAAGTGTATTGAAGTTGTTTGTTGCCTTGTTTAAGAATATGAAACGTAGCCATTATATCGACGAAGCGGGGCATTGCGGTAAGAGATGTCGATCAACTGAAAAATGTATCGAGATGGATCAAGACATTGACTGTGAGCTGCCTCACACATGCTGCATAGCTGCGTAAAAAAAAGCTCCCCATAGAATTTCTGAGCCGTTCATGGTTGCGCTGCAGCATTTTTGTGCTTTGGACTAATGTAGATGTGAGTAAAATGAGGTAAGGTTAAAAAAAATCCCTGATATGCCAAAGCTTGATAGGACAGTCATGTTTCATCCCTGTAACACGCCTATATGAAGCACACTGCCAAAATATTACTTAATATATTTTCACTTGAAAATTGTACTGCACTGGAAATGGCAATGGGACATTTTCATTCCTTTTTTTCTTCTTCTTTTTTTTTCCACTGATATAAATAAATAAATGTACAATAGCTTTCACACGGCCTTATCTCTAATGGGTCTTGCTGAGCGTTGCCACCATTAGATAAGATGTCTTGTTTTGAACAAGTTGTGCTAATTTCTCTGTGTTGAACATTTGGTTTGTTTGCATGGGAGTTTTTGAGCAGCGAGCTCCCGTTGTCCTTTTTTTTTTAGCCTCCACTTTCTTGCAGAACACATACCTTTCAGACACAGCTCGTTCTCTCTTTGGAGAATATCTGCTCTGCTTGGTCTAACTATGATTTGCATTTCAAAGAGCGAGACAGGAGCCACTGCGGAAGATGTGACTTCTTCTTCGGTAATGACTGTGTTTTTCGGAGGCCCTGATTCATCCACGCAGATCTTGAATCTTGGCAAAATAAATTCTCTTTTAGGGTGATGCTGCCATTTCAGAGATCAAACACACCCTGTCAAACAATGTCGCTTTTTTTTTTTGAAAAAGAGATTTTTGATCCAACACCTCAGTGGTTTAGTTTCTCATGGTTTAATGTGGATATGTGGGATTCAATTACAGTAAGTCTTTTAAGCAGTTGAGGAATCACTGACACAGTGGGCTTCTTAACTCAAAGAAAACCCTTCGAGGAGCAACTCGTCCTCAGCCCCCACAGTCTCTATGTCAAACACACTCATTTCAGCAACTTTGATTAGAAAGCTTGTGTTTAAACTTTTCTTTTGCCAACATTTTTCAATCAGATGGACTGAAAGTATATCTGCTTGTGTTTGTTCGTTGGATCTTTTTAAGTAAGCTGAATCATTGAGTGCATTCCTGCCAGCAACATCAATTTCAGCTCATCAATTTCAGTTTAGCTTTAGTTAGTGTCTCCTTAGATGTACCATCCACTTTAAAGAACTCAGATTTTTTCATAAACATTTCTTTAAGAAAAAGGCCAAAAGTGATGCATGTCGTACAGTCGTGCATCTGAAAGTGAATTTGTATGTTTATTTATGTCATGTATATTTTTCAAGCTGGAGTACATCAGGGACTGGGAAACAATGCAGAAATATATGGGATGAACACAGCATTTCAAGAAATAAAGGAAAAAGGAAATGCTTTTGATGCCTGTCAGTATAGGAAGCAAATCAAGAACAAAATGTTATGCCATCTCAATAAAAAAAAAAAAAAACAGGAGTGCGGGCATCCAGGACCATTTATTATCTCTTATTTGGCACACCGTATCCTTGCAATTTTTACTAAATTAGAAAAAAAAGCTTTTAAAAATTGGTTCTGGTCTTTAATTTTTGTTGTGACCTCAATGTTAAATGACATTCAGTCATTTTTTGTATAAATTGTGCTTGAATTGATTTTATTTTTTTGTGACACAGCACAAACCATGTGTATCTTAACAAGTAATTTGTACGTACGTGGGATGATTCAGCTAATTTCTGCTGCACTTTAAACTGCAGATTTACCATTGGAGTCATCAAAAAATGTGGCTTATGGTGGAAAAAGTTTAGGGTCAATCATATAGCCCCGAAGCAGTGCCTTTTTAACAGATTTAACTGTCTGTGAGTTCTGTCACTGTATGTTTACTTGTGTGTCAGCCCTTATGTACCAAGGTATCTTTCCGTAAAGTCTGATGAATGAACTGTTTAACATATGCGCTGCTTTTTTTTCTGTTGATGCCATTTTTTGTGTAAGGCTTAATCACATATAAAGGGATTTCTGTATTCGTAAAGGTTTTGTATGCACTCAACTTTGATATAGTCGTGTCGTGCTCTTTGTGTTGCGTGTGCTCCCTTACTGCTGTTATGGAACAATGTCCATTTGAAGTTTTCTGGTAATTTTCCTCTGTTATTTTTAGGTTTCTGGGCAATAAAGTATTTTGTCTTGGAGACTGGAGACTTAAAATGAAATATTCCACAATGCTACGTACACAGAGGGGTTATTTTTTAGCCGTGAATGTAAATGTCTGGCCCAGTTGAAATTAGTACAGAGGCAGATCAAAACAAATCATCCCTTCCCTCGTTCCCATCTCTTGTCATCTTCCAGCCCTCCTGCTTTAAGAGGGGCTCTCTTCTGCAACCCCTCCAAACAAACCATTGTTGTCATGTCTTTTTCTAAGCGTGCTGTTATGACCTTCAATATTCAACGTGTAGGAAATTCAAGACACACAACACAAAATGGATATATCTACATGATCTACAATGCTTACTCTAATTCTGCTAAATTGCAATAGAAGGATCCACATAAATGATATAATATAATGTAATTCTTCATCAAGAGGTAAGGCATCCCCTTTAAAAGGAAACATTTTCACCATCGTCGAATTTAGAGAAACATCAACTTCACCGAAACCATTCTCGAGAGTGGAAAATTTCAGCTGGAGCAGATTGGAAAGAAAAAAATAAAAACAGCAACTCTCCAAGATGAAAAGTCTTCATGCGTCACGCTGATGCAAGCAGAGAAACTACAGCTCATTTAAAAGATTACAGCTTGGGTTTGTCCCTTTGAAGCGACCGTTTCTTCAATTGAAAATTAAAGAGATTTTCCAAACTTGGTGGAAGAGTGAAAAAGCTATTTCAAGAATTGCCATTTCCCCCCCCAAAAAGATACATGTGGTAATAATGATACAAACAGTCAAAGAAAACTGAAGCTGATTGGTTTTCTAACTTATTTGTTTTATTTTTTCCTATCTAGACTCATAGCTCTCATCTCCTCCACCAAGCGTTACCTTGCTGTGTTATCTGAAGAGGGGCTTCCTGCCAGTAGGCGGGTGGGTGGTTCCATCCGTGTCTTGTTTGCACTGGTCCCAAACAGAAAGGGTATCTGGTGTAAAACCTCCTGCCAAACTTACCATGCCAGTGACCCCTAATGGTTAAAGTTGAAAGATGAGTGTCCTTAGTGATAAGAACGAGTGCACAGTGTGAAGAAATAATCATCCGAGTGCAGTTTCAGTTGCACATCACATTAAATCAAGCTGAAACAATTTTCTTTTTCAGTCTGGTAGAGTTTGATGGGTGTCTCTAGTAAGTAATATTTAGCAAAAAATGTGTAAAGCTGACCAAATTTTGTATTCCAAAACTAGGGGCTTGCACCCATTGACTGAATGGTGGTGCTCCTCTGAGGGCAAGTTAGCCAAAAAAGCCACAAACACTCACAATGACTTAAAGGCTCAGTTGTGGATTCACCAATAAAAACTAAAACGCGTGTCTCTGCATGGTCAGTTAGTATTTTCTCATGGAACAGTCAAACGTCTCTCTGTCTCTTAGCTTGTCTTCTGTGTAAACTGATTTTGTGTAAAACCTCTGTAAATCATGAGGTTTTTTTGTCAATTACGACAGAGTCCCAGCCTTTTCAACTGAAGTAGGTTTTGTATTCCAATCTTTTGGGGTAATTTCTGTTTTTATCTTCTACATGGAAGGTCGAGAATTTTTCACATCCCCTCGTTCCTCACTTGTAACCGCCGTTCACCTTCCACCTTCCACCTTCCCAAATGGGACCGAAGGCTGAGAGCCGCTTCTGTTTTATGTGTTTTATGGATGGGGCAACAGTGCCACTGTCTGGCCTGCGAGCACAAATGCAAAAGCTGAAAAACTTCATGATGTATGCACCGTCTTCTTCTTCTCCACAAACTCTCGTTTACCTCTTCTCGCTCCTAATTGTTTTAAAAAACTGTATAATCATCCCAGATATATAATATAATCTGGGATTTTCTGTCTCCTAACAGGTGAAACTTTATAGAAGTGAGACAAGTCACAAACCCAATCGAGTTACTCATTAACGCTGCTCTGTCTTGTGTGTCGTTGTGCAAGTAAATCTCACTATGGCATGCCTTCCAACCTTTGCCCAGCAAGCGTCTTTATTGTTTCCAAATGAGAGGAAGAGGAAGGATCAAAACAGAAGTCAGAACTTGGAGACGCCTGCAGAGCGAGTCATCCTATTCTGAACAGGTGAGCTTTTCTTTCAAATATCTTTGTGCTTTTTATGTCTGGTGTGTGCTGAGAATTAATCCACTGTGATTTATCTGGCCTTGTGTTAGTTGTTTGAAACAAATACCTTTTCTAGTGAATTACAACGTGTCTGCTGACATGCTTCACTTCCCTAAGATAATTAATCTATCTTTTTTGGATTAAGAACAACGATAAAAAAGCACATCAGCAACAGGTATTTGTTTTGTCAGATTTATTAAAGTGTATGTGATCGCACAGCATATGGCAAGGCAAAGTTAACTAGTAAAAAGTTCATGGTCTGGCCAACTCCCAAACATCATGTGATGGTGACAATGACAGAAAGAACTCTAGTGGTTCCATTTTATTTGTCTTGATCAGGCTTCCTGGTTAGTTTCTTTCATCAGGATTCACCCCATGCCAGATAAACAGCAGATGCATATCATCAACAACACGCACGTCTTTATTTCCCCGTCTGACTGTGACTGAACATTTCTGACTGAAAGCTTCTTGGTTAATTAAAGTCCAGAGCAGGTTTTAAGTATCTTTTATTTTTTCCAATTTGTATTTGTCCTTGAAATGATAAAAATGCTTCATGATATTTACATCATACTTAGTTTTATTGTTAATTTTGTAGTAATTTTGAGAACCTTAACTCCTTTTTCTTGTTGCTGTGTTTAACAGTTTTTAGGACGCATTTTTAGTAATGGATCAGATATCTTTAAGTTTTTTTTCACTACCATCAGGCACTCTTGTTAGTTCGGAAAACATGATTATTTTATAAATACATTTGCTAACAAAAATGTAAAGCAGGGAAGATTAGGATTAGGATAAACAAAAGATGCTAAGAGAAAATAGAAAGGACAAGCAAATCCAGAGAATTTTCCCAATTTCTTTATCAATGATCTAAAGATGTCATATTTTAGTACCTAAAGAAGATTCACAAGCACACATGCACAAATGTGCACACACCCAGATAGCAAAGTGAGTAAAAAAGCAAAAATTGGCAGCATAAAGATAAGAAAACCATAAGAATATAAAAAAAACACTAAACCACCAAATAGATAAATACAAATAAAACTTTTCATCTTTTTTTCCTGCTCAGGTTTGACATTTCAGGTGTTCAGGTGATTTTAAAGTCTTTTTTCTTGTCTGATGATGCACTTTTAAGGTGATTCAACAGATATAAATAGTTCATGATTTAATTTCTTCTGGTTTTGCCTTAGGTCAGAGAGATGGGCCCGTGGAGCAGCGCTGTCCTTGTTGCTCTTTTTCTCTGCCAAGTGTTGATCCGAGATGCACACGCTGCCCCGACGTTTGATGCTGGGGGGCTTACGAGCCCTGGGAGACACCTTCTGACGATAGCGGGGGGCAACACCAGCAAGAACGGCACCCTCAGTGAATGTAGGTGGAACGGGGAACACCTGTTGGGTCCATTTCCGGCTCCTTCCTGCTTTCAGCCAGATGTTTTAGGGGAAACTTTATTCCGCACGGCTGCAGTTCTGAGTTAGTTGTAATACATTTCCTTCCCTGTTTTCCGTTTAGCGTCATCCATTCCTGATGATTCCCCCAAATCGGTGCAGTGGTCCTATCTGGCCGCGGGACTGGGCACAGTCCTGACCCTCTCGCTCCTCGTCGTGATGGCAGCCAAGTTCCGCGTCTTCCATCGTTTCCTGGCCAGCTACAGACACTCGCTGCTCCAAGAGGCCGACGGGATCAGCCAGTACGGTCAGGAGGAGGGGTCGTACCCCTACGTGTCCGGCCGGATGGGCGTTGTGGGAGGGACGCAGAGGGGCCTGGATGAGGACGACGACGGTTTCATTGAAGATAACTACATCCAGACCGGTGAGAAAGAGAGGGCGGAGAGAGAAATCAAGGAGGAAGAGGAGGAGGACAGTGATGATGACCTTCAGTTTACTATAGGATGATTATGAAATGAGTGGATTAATCAAAAACTGCTCTTTTTTTTCCTTTTACGCTTTTACACTTGTACACGCTTTGAAGAAGAATATGCTGATATTTTCTCTACATGGGATGGGACACATGCAAAGGGGAAGTTTCAATAAAAACATCAATTGGATTGGATCCAACCCCTTATTAGAAGAAAGCCCTTCTTTTCATGATTAATAGGCAATACGGATAAATCCTAAAGTTTCTAACACCTAACCTGGAAAAAGCTAACTTTGTGGTAGACTTATGGTCAATAAAGAACTGTACAGTGCAGATAGGGCATTATACAAATTCATTAAGCAAAAGGAAGTCGAATAATAAAAGCTTAATTTTTAATTCTAAAAAGAAAATGAAAATCAAACTCCTGAAAGATGAAAAATTATGTATATCCTCAGAAAAATGTAAATTATGCTTAAATCAAGGGTCGGTTTTAAGTGAAATACAAAATAAAATAATCAAAAAACAACTGCAACAAAAATAAACGTACAAATAAAGTTCAAGTTGTTTTTTTTTGTGCCTTAGACCAGAATTAGTCATTTCATGTGCAAGTTGCCTGGTTGATTTATTATATTTTGACTGTGAATGAACTACAGGGAGGGAAACAAAGTGAAAGTCCACCATCTTCATTGTAGTCTGAATGACTGAGTGTTCATTTGAATCTCTCTCTCTCTCTTTTTTTGTAGTGAATAAATTTTCGCCTGTAAAAACACTTGGATAGCTTCTGTTTTCATGTCACCCACACCAAACTCACAACAACACATTTAACCCAGTAACTCTTTGATTTGATGTGAAATTTACTGAGACTTTATTCACAACCATATACTGTTCACATTTCAGATAAAGTGGACAGTGGGGTGAAAGGATGCACTTATCAATACGCTGCACCATTGTTTACAGCAGTACTTTGTTTAGTTGTAAAGTGATATTGACCATAGGGCTGGCTAGAAAACATATTTTTGTAATGAGATCCGGATCTCCTGTATTTAGCTGCTTTGACTTTCCTTCCGTGACTTTTCATCTTGACTTAGTTTATTCAGTCTTTAAGGAATGGCCACCGTTCAGCTTAGATCAGACTAGTCCTGCTGGTAGATGTCTCTCTCCGTGCCTGACTCATCTGTCCGGCCGAAGCCCCGAGCACCCGGACGGCTCGGCTCCCCAGCCTCCGTGCCCTGTTCAGTCTCATCCTCCTCCTCCTCCTCATCTGCTCCCTCCTTTTCCGGAGGTGGGCCAGCAGGCCGTAGCCCGCCACGGCCAGGGACATCCCGGCGCCGGCCGCCACCAGCGCGCCGCCGGACACCAGCATCTCCCCGCCGTCGTGACCCCGGCCGCCCATCAGGGCCACGCCGAGCAGCGCGGCCCCGCACAGGACCACCGCCAGCCCCACGCTCAGAATCAGAGCCGGGTCGGCCCTCCCGCCGCTCTTCAGCTGCTCGATCCGACGGCGGCTGCGCACGCAGTTCATGTCCTGGATGGCCGAGCTGAGGAGCTGCTTGAGCAGAACGGCGAGGGCCAGAAGGCAAAGGGTGGTGCCCACGCCCAGGCGCCATTCCCCGGACAAGCTGCTGGTGGTGGACAGGAGGCCCACGCCGCCGAGGCCCAGTCCCACTATGAGGGCCACCGAGGCGCAGTAGCAGAAAAGGGAGTGTCGGGGCTCACTGAACCACCACAGCTCCACCTGATCCTCCAGCGCCCGGCGCTGGGAAAGCCTGGGGTCCAGGTAGAGGCTCGGGGTCGGGCGCATGGGGTAATAGAAGGTCTGCATCTCGGACATGGCAGCTTACCCCTTTGTCCGCTTAAATCCAGGATGACACTTTAACTATGCAGACTTTTTATCAGGACGGTTGGCACACAACACTCTAAAAAGATTTTTAAAACTTCAATCCATAGTGATTATGACATTAAAAAATACTTTATCTCAGGTTTACTTACATAGTCCAACAATATGTAACATGTCTTTCCAGCTTTCTGCATCCCATCTGTCAATTCTGGTCAAAAGATTAAATAATTGCTCAGAAAAATCCTGCAGTTTTTTCCATTCAGCAGTTAGAGGATCCAGGTTGAATGGAGAGCTTCCAGTGGTTGAGTATCCTTGAGCGTTTCATTTGCTGCAGCTGGTTTAAGGAGGGAAAACGCCAATCTGCAGAATGACCCAGACAGAAAGTCTCCCTTAAAACTCAGCAGAGCGGAGCCCGGATCACCCGGGCCGTAAAAGTGGAAAGTGGTGGAGACACGGCAGTGACAATGACACAGTGCGTGCGCACGTGTGCTTTCCGCAAGTGACTCATCCGCTGTCACGGATCGATAATCATTGACCACTTCGCGTGCTCCGTCCCTGTGCCAGGCATGACAGACCCCCGCTGCCTCCTCTCATCACACGGCGACGCCATGTTGTCCGGTCCATGGGGGAAAAGACGGGTCACAATGGCAGCGTTGGATCGTGACTTTGTCAGAGACTGGCGAGGTTGTTCGCCAGGGCACAACACAGAGAATGGATTTGAACGAGGAACACAATGGCCGCGTTGCAGAAAGCATGAGGGGGGCTGTGGAGGGTGTCGTGTTGCCGGCGTGGAAGACTGAGTGATGTCAGCTCGAGCTGATAATGGCGTGTCTGTGACCCCGGGGATTGCATCATTCATGGCCTGTGCTTGCCCAGCAGACTGGCCACAGTGAAACGCGTCTTCCCTTCCAGACAACGAAGAAAGAGAAAGTCCTTCTCAAACATTTTATCAACAGCGGCCCATTTGGATTTTTTCTAACGCTGCATATAACTCAATAAACCCATGACAAACTCTTTGGCAGTTCAGTCGAAACCTTCAGGCTGGCTCTTTCTGCTTTACCCAGCGTTCACTGTGTTAACTGCCCCTTGTGAACAATGTCATGGAGTGTAAAATTTAGCCGGGGTTTATCTGGAGTCACCCGTTTTCAGAAAATCTCTAATTTGTCTAAATTAGTCTTTAATGAATAGGAAAAAAAACGCCTGATGGGCTAGAGACAGGGGAGGAGCTGAATAGGAAAAGGAACCAAACAAATGGACAAATGGATGCACAAATCTGAAATAAATTGTGAAAAAAAGAAATGATTTTACGACCTTGGGGATGTAGTTTACAAGAGAGAGTGGCATAAGTATTGGATATTTTGTAAAATATGTGATTACCAAAGAAACGATCAGCGTCCGCACGAAATCGATACTGTAATTCATCCCAAAGATGGTTATTGATATTTCTACAATTGTTCAAATAAACCCATAAGGGAGGTGTTCCATTGACTCTGTTGGAAGCAAGCAGAGTTTTTGCTCTGGTTTTCAGTACGTGAACAAATAAAGTGTAATTTTGTGAAAAAATATAATATAATATAATATAATATAATATAATATAATATAATATAATATAGGCACTTTCTGTGTTGAGTTTGCATGTTCTCCCTGTGTCTGCGTGGGTTTTCTCCTGGTTCTCCGGCTTCCCACCGTCCAAAAATCTGCATCTTAGGTTGATTGGACATTACCAGTTGCCCTTAGGAGTGAGTGTGCATGGTTGTTTGTCGTTGTGTGTCTCTGTGTGGCCCTGGGATGGATAGGCACATTTTCCAGGGTGTACCCTGCCTCTCACCCACTGAATGCTGGGATAAGCTCTAGTCCCCCCGCGACCCCATTTGGGAATAAGTGGTTCACAAAACAGATGGATGGATGGATGGATGGATGGATGTTAAGAAATTAAACAAATCGTTGTGACAGCCTCCTGGATTCTCTACTTCCATTGGGTGAAAACATTGTCTCTCACTTGCGTGCTGTTCTGGGACCGAATCCAGAATGTAAGAGGCTCAGAATCTGAAAAGAGGGATTTGTCAAATGAATGGACAAATGGATGAACAAGTTTGCAAATGTTCTACACAACAATTTCCACAGCATGAAATGTGACTCTAGGTTTTGCTAAAAGATGCTTTTCAGTAAGAAAACCAAAGATGGAAATGAGAACATTTGTCATTTCACAGCTCCCCTGTGCACTCCCACAGAAAACTGATGATGAGCCAGTAGGAAAAGCAGCAGGATCACCCTCTCAGAGCAATGCATCCGCTGTTAATACTGCTGTATTTGTTACCTAAGGTAGCTAACATGTCTACTGTGAAAGCGGTTAAATCTGTAATTATGACATGGTTATTACCTATAAATGGAATTTGAACAGTTTACAGTCAATTCTCTCAAAAAGATAGTTTAGTTGTTTAGCTTGTAAAGCTAAACCCCCTTAACTTTATGGCTAAATCATAAATCTGACTGTAGTCTATTAAATATATGTATAGAAAAATGACTTTATATGATAATGTTAGATATCCAGGTGAGACAATATTGGATTCTAATCACTTAGATGCAATAAAACATTAGGAGAAAGTTTCATTTTATAAGTCAATTTTGCTTAGTTTACAGTTTGCAGACAAGAAAGAACCAGCAGGGGGCAGCAGTGTCTTGGCTTGGACAAAGGTCTGGAGAACCATTTCCTCCTAATTGTCTGAACTATGGAATCCCATCTGAGGTCCATTTTGTGTGGAGTTTGCGTGTTCTCCCTGTGTACGAGTTGGTTCCCTCCGGTTACTCTGCCGTCCTCCAACTGTCCAAAAACAAATGCAATCAAAATGCTCTACAATGCCAACAGAAAGCAGTATGAGCGTGTACGATTGCCTTCCTTTGTGTAGCCCTGTGATGGACTGGCAGCCCGTCCAGGGTGTACTCTGCTACTCGGTTCTGTTTGACCCCACTGGACATATCGGGGACAGGAAATGGAGGGGATGAATGGTTTCTCCGATTGGCTCTATCCCCGATTTTGTGGTAATGACAACAACACACTGAAAAAAATCATTACTTCAGACAGAGTTCGCCATTTACTCTTACACAGTTGCTGCCCGGGCTTGTCAACCACTGCAGCAGCACAGATGAGACCAGTAAACTCCAGAGCTGGGAGTTGGGTTAGGTCGCTTGGACAAATGTGGTTTTCATCCGAGTTCATCCGAGGATGCCTTAACTCGGCCGTGGTACTTGTGCGTGCCAGCTTCTGCCACTGAACGGATTTAGAGAATCGCTTCACTTTTCTGCTTGCTCAGCAAATGTTCCCCTAAAGGTTAATTAGTTTAAAGAAATAAAATAAAAAGTTGCCCATCACACTGTTTCCCCGAGAAGCCGTTCACACGAGTAACTGCTGATCTCCTCATGCCATCTGAGGATAATGGATGCGACTGCCGAATCCATAACGTTTTCGACGGTGTCGCATATCAGGCTGCTATATATCTGGCTGCTTTGACTCATAAAACGAGTCGGCTGCCATTTCTCCAGCGGCAGGTAGCGACCTCGGTTAACACAAACAAACCTTTTTAATTCTGTGCTGTTTTTTCAGCAGCGCGATGGCCTTGGAACTCCGTCTGCTGCTCAATGGCTGACAGCTTAAAAACACATTAACACAATACAGCTCAGATGACAACATCCTTCCCCAAATCTGATAACTGCATCACGTAACATCATGTTTAAAATAAAATCTGTATTTGTTTCAATATGCCTCTCCCGGCTTTCAATTGCATAGTAACTTGTGGGTACTACGGTCCAGCCATCACTACGACAGGAGGTTTGTCATTTTGTGAAAGAGAAAATCAGTCTTAGACTTATTAAACCTGTTTCTATATTTTAGATTAGTAGTTAAACCTTAAAATCTTTTCAAATGCTGGCTTTGGCTTTTGGCCCCTCAGGCAGACACAACTGGTTCTGGGGCATGTCCGAGAAATCATTAAAAAAGCGAATTATTAAAAAGTACTTTTACCCATTGGAATCAAATGAAGCAGAATATTATCAAGTGATCATATATCCTGATATTTTTTTCAAAATCTGTTTGGAAATCAGTTTATTTTAAAGGTTGAACTTTATTCAACCTTTTTGGACCAATCTAAATGGGAAAACGCTCTCGGTTTCCTGAGGCGCCACAGAAATCGGCTGCTTGCTTCCCTCCGATATGAACAAAATCTGCTCCATGTTATTTTCATATTCGTGATCATTTGGGCGCTCTCTCCACCACTTTTATATTAAGACGCACCCCTCGTAATCCCTCAGATGCCTAATCCTCAGTGTGCTAAAAGGATTTTCATCGAGTCATGACTCACGCTTCACAGCAAATTGTCTGTTAACTAAGTTTGGTGCTGAGAATCAGATAGATTGAAAACAAAACAAAACGAAATAAAATGATGGTCTGATGCACGTCCGCATCAATGTCGATTGCTTTGATTTCTTGTTGATTGTGGCATTAATACCAAAAGCATCCATATTGTGCCTGAGTTTCATATTGTGTAACAGTATGTGAGCTGTTTCTTTAGGCTGAACGCTTACTTTAGAGTCAGAATCTGCATTTCATTCTGTGAGGATACAAAAACTCCAAACTACAAATTTCTAAGTCTAAACCAAGGTGCCTGACTCAGTATAGATCTAGGCTGTTCTCATGATAGGGGATTTTCCATTACGCTTCTTGTCACCTGAGTAGGTGGAGGTCCAAACTTTAACTGTTTGCAAATGCATCGAGCCAAGGAGAGTAGGCACTAGTGGAGCCCCCCCCCCCCCCCCCCCCACGACCACGAGTAGCAGTACACATCTTGGGATATTTAGTTTACCCCTAAAAGCTCCAACCACAGCTCAGATTCTACATTTTTGGATGATTTTCCAAAGATAATAAGTCGCAATCCTGCCTTGTTCCCAGTCCAACTTCTTCTGTCAACTCTTTCTTCCTACGGACATTGAAA